GTAGGTAGGCCCCAAACGCATAAACTCATAAATGCACAAACCAAACACGGAGTCCCCACGGAAAGCAGGGACACCTTTTCTAGGATAACACTTAAAGCGTTTGCATTATCGTCGCGACAGGGTGGTTTGAATACAGACTACGAATTGGAAATTGTGGAATCCAAAAATCGGTTCCACATGACGGAAAACAGTTGCGGGTATTGCGTCAACGCGGGTTGTGCTAACCGCAGCCAGGTGGTGGGTTCAACCACCACCTACAGTTAAATATTGGCTTCCCAGAGGTTTTCCAAGAACTTCCAGAACCATAACCAATTTTTCGAAGGAACTGCCTAGAGTCTTTAGGGGGGACCTTTCCAGGGACATGGCCAAGTGGTTCGAAAAAACTCCCCAGAGTTTCAGGAACTTTCCAAGGACCATAACAATTTTCGAAAGAATTCCAGAGTTTTCAGGGGGAGACTTTCCATACCATAATGACCTTTTCCAGGAATGGGAAATAGCACTTTAATAATCCACGACTTCCCAGTTTTTTTCAGGATCCGGGTTGACAACCCCCACACAACGCCACAATACAACCTGATGAAACCACTGTGCTTGAGCGACAAAACGATGCACCAGGACCAATACACAAGACCGCCGGGAGCTTTAGCGAACAAAATGCGCGCCAGGGCGGTGGGAGAAAAACATGGCCAGGGACAAACTCACTTGTGCAAGCGGAGCGTATACCTCATTGATTCGCTTGCCTGATTCGGCGCTTCGGGCCGGGCCAGAAATACAAGCTGAGATCCGTCACGAGCAGGCCACGGCGGTACGTGGGGCATAACGTTAGAACAAAACACCAATTAAGGGAACGCGGCACGCGCGGGAAAATTTCATTGCGAAGCCTCTGAGGGTCAATATGTATTCCATCTCGCTGCCGCTATACTAATAAGTTGATTCCGTCTCGCCCCAGCAATTCTGGGACGCAGGTACCTCTGATGCCCTTCCTCTCATGGCGATAATTTAGATGTCCCTCAGGAGAGTTGCCCCACACGGCTGGAGCAGCCGGAGGGAGGAGGTGACGGGGCAGGAGGGAGGGCGAGGAGGCACGAGGAGAGGCCAAGGGGGGCAGGAGGAGGAGGTGGGGGGGCAGAGGAAATGCGTGGAGGGGGCAGGAGGAGAGGTTGAGGGGGCAGGGGAGAGGTGAGGGGGGCAGGAGGGAGAGGTGAGGGGGTCAGGACGAGGAGAGGCAAGAGAGGTAGGAGGGGAGAAGGGGCTCACCGAAGAATGGGGAAGGGGAAAGGGGAAAAGGGGGAAGGGGGGAGAGGAGAGGCGGATCATAGTATAATGGGGAAAAGGGGATGGGAGAAGCCTTCGCCTTTCCCTCCTGCCCTCTTGCCTCTCTTTCCTGCCCCCTCACCTCTCCCTCCTGCCCCCTCACCTCTCCCTCCTGGCTGCTCCAGCCGTGTGGCATCTCTGGCATCTTGATGATGCATTGTTGTTCGCAGTCGGATTGCTGGGAGACGGATCACTATTAGTATTAGCGGCAGCGAGATGGATAAATATTGACCTCAGCTCGCAATGATTTGCCGCCGTGCCGCGTCCGTAATTGTGTTTGTCTAACGTTATCCACACGTGCGCCGTCGGCCTGCTCGTGACGGATGCTCACTTGTTTTTCTGCAGGCGAACGACGATCAGGCACGATCACTGAGGGTATACCTCCGCTTGCACAGTGAGTTTGTCTGCCATGTTTCTCCCACCACCCTGCGCGCATTTCGTTCGCTAGCTCCGGCGTGTTGTGTATTGTCTGTGCATCGTTTGTCGCTCAGCGTGGTTTCATCAGGTTGTATTGTGACGTTGTGTGGGGTTGTCACGGATCCTGAAAAAAACTGGGAGGTCGTGGATTTTTAAAGTGCTATATGGTTATATGGTTATGGAAAGTCCCTGAAAACTCTGGGAATTCTTCGAAAATTGGTTATGGTCCTGGAAAGTCCCTGAAAACTCTGGGAGTCTTCGAAAATTGGTAATGGTCCTGGAAGGTCCCTAAAAACTCTGGGAGTCTTCGAAAATTGGTTATGGTTCTGGGAAGTCCTTGAAAACTCTGGGAAGCCATATTTACTGTAGGTGTGTGAACCCTGGCTGCGGTTAGCACACGCGTTGAGCATAGCCGCAACTGTTTCCGTCATGTGGACTCGTTTTTGATTTCCAACAATTACAATTTCGGTATCCTGTATGAAACCACCTGTCCGACGATAATGCAACGCTTTAGTGTTATGCTAGAAATGTCTGCTTTTCGTGGGGATTCGTGTTTTGTTTGTGCATTTTATGAGTTATGTTGGTTACTACTAGAGCCTGCTAGTAGGGGAGCCTCTGCTAGAGAGCATCCTACTCGTTCAATCTTTGTTTACGTCATTGATCGTAGGATCATCTAGGTTGTTATTTTGCTTGCTTGGTGTACGGCAGCCGAGTGGCACCTCCTAGCTGTTTTGCTTGCGTTGTCTTTGTTTGCTTACACGTTCTTGCACGTTGGCGTTGTTGTGTTCTTCGCATGTGTTGCTTAATCTCCCGTCTCTCTAAGTCCATTTTCATTTTCGTTTCTCGCACTAACCTATGCTGCCACCAGGAGTCGCCACCAGGATACTGCACCGAGCACGCCGACGCACGTTCTAATACAGCGCCTCACACGGGAGTATGAGTGAGTTCACCTGCCCGGCACCAACGACATAGAGGGCGCTGCCAGTAGCAGACATACTCGAACATTTACTTGAGCGGGCGTGTAGAAAATGCATCGAAGTCGTCCATCAGAAGATGTATTCTGCAGGGAGAATTGGAGATGGGGTGTGGGTTGGCAATCGCAAGAGGCCAGGTGGTATCAGGGGTAGAAATGAACTTTTGAACAAGGGAGTCTAATGGACACGCTACCCTCAAAAGGAGGGAGTCTGCAGCAAAATGAGGGAGTCTGCAGCAAAATGAGGGAGTCTGCAGTCTGAAGTTCAAAATTAAATCATAACAACAATAACGCATGTGCTTATTTTGAAGATTCGTGCGATGCACGTCTGCCAAATTTTATTTTTGACATTTGCTGTAAAAATACGGTAATTCCGCGAGGCCGTGCTCTGGAACGAACTATAGTTAGTATAGCAGAATTTTCAGGGAGTCACACGGACTGCATATGTCAAATCAGGGAGGCCGACAGTAAATTAGGTAGTATTTTACTCCGGACTCGCGTTAATTTCGCACCCTGTGGTGTCTTACTATCCCTCGCAGATTTGCGACACAGTTCTCTGTCGTGATTCATTGTGGTGCTTTGGTGGATTGTGGTGAAGGAAATGCATCTGGTTGTGTACCTGGTAAACGTTTGTTATTGTCAGCAGCGTGTGGTGCCGGGGCACGACAAATAATAAATAACGTAATAAATTAATAGTTAAAATAAATAATAATTAAACGAAATAATTAATAACGTAAATAATTTACGCATGTAATGTATATAGGGACATGATGTGTGTCTATTAATTCGCTCGCGTGTATATTATATCTTTTGGTAGTGTTTGGTAGCAGTCACGGTGTACCCACACCTCGCCACGAGTAGCAAACTATCGATAGCACATCACATTCAAGTTTCTGCGAATCTTATTTGAAATCGAAAATCGACCGATCTTATTCGGTAACGACGAAACCGCAATTAACGCTGCCGTGAGCGATGCTGATGCGGTGAAACTCTAATAGGGATTCACCGCACGCTGCAGCATCCCGTTGTTCGCTGCGTTCCTGCATCCTCGCTGTTCTCGGCTAATCGTTGTCGTTCGCTCGCTTCTCGCAGTTCCAAGATGACGCCGGGAGACAAGGATGTGCATGTGGGCACCCTCGAGGGCACTGTCATGATGAGACAGAAAGAGCGGATGTCAGCAGTCGAGTTCCTCAGAGCGTGAGTGAGAGTGTTCGCTTCCGCTGAGGCCCAGTCACTAACATAGCTGTAGCAGCAGTAGTAGTAGTAGTAGCAGCAGCAGCAACAGATGTAGCACCACTATCTGCAGCAATAGTAGTAGCAGCAGCCGCAACAGTAGCTGCAGTAGCAGCAACAGTAGCAGCAGTAGCAGCAGCAGCAACAGTAGCAGTAGTAGCCGCAACAGTAGCAGTAGTAGCAGCAGCATCAGCAGTAGCAGCAGTAGTAGCAGCAGCAGCAGCAACAGTAGCAGCAACAGTAGCAGCAACAGTAGCAGAAGCAGCAACAACAACAGTAGCAGCAACAGTAGCAGCAGCAGCAGCAGCAACAGTAGCAGCAGCAGCAACAGCAACAGCAGCAGCAGCAACAGCAGCAGCAGCAACAGCAGCAGCAGCAACAGTAGCAGCAACAGCAGCAGCAACAGTAGCAGCTAATAGATTTGTTTCGCTCCTCCCACTAACAGTATAACAACAACACTCATTCGACTGCTCCTATTTCTTGTTATGCACATGTTTTTTCAGCACAAGGTTTGTCATCATTGGTGCACGTTTCTACAATGATATACCTGATAAAGCAGTGAGCTGAAAAGTCAAATCTTTCAATTAGACCTGTGCAGTGTAGATGCAGCATATAAATACTATAACAATACCACTCACATTCTCGCCTCGGTTAGGCTGGTAATGTGATACTTTCAACCAGCGCGTTATTTGCTGTTGTGGTCAGTCACTGTCTCATTATGCATCTTACCTGCAGTGAGGATGGCAGTGATGATGAGAAGCTGAAAAAGGAGCGTAAGACAACCAGGAGGAGCAGCCGTCTGTTTGGCATGAGCAGCCGTAAGAAGCGGGTGAGTGATCACATTGCATCACTCTCGCTCGGTTGCTGAGAGAAAGAGAATCGCTGTTAAGGCACCCTCAATGTGCACGCTATATAATTCAATAATCTCATTACATCAATAACTACACCGACTCGACTCGCCGTTTCACTTACTTTTTTCTGTTCTCTCTCTCGCTTTCTCTTTCTCTCTCTCTCTCTCTCTCTCTCTCTCTCTCCTCTCTCTCTCGCCTCTCTCTCTCTCTCTCTCTCTCTCTCTCTCTCTCGTCTCTCTCTCTCTC